TCACAACAATTCTGTGCTGTGTATGCTATGCCACAATCAAGTGCACTTTTCCCACAATAGTACAGCATTACTTGGTAGACTTGGAGGTATCCTCTGTACTTACTGCTGGCTCTACGTTTTCATGGTAGCAAGTGGAAACAGAGAGCCAGCAGTATTAAACTACGATAATACACAGGTTACTAGTATTTATCTGATACATGTGTACATGTACATGCAAACTCAAATTAAACAACTTGCCAACAAATACTTTATCATTTCATTGCTGGGTAATTGTACAACAGTGACTACCCTGGTTAAGATTCACCTCTAATGATGTTAATGCTACATTTATATCAATACATGTACATCAATACATATCTCAAAGGAGTATCGCATAGTTCAAATTTGATATAAACTCTGGCAAAGTGGAAAAGGTTACCCTATCTCCTGCCCTGTCCTGATTGAGGAAGGACAGGACTGGGGCCACCGTTATCTGATATTCTCAATTGTTTGAAAAGAAACAAACATCAATCTGTCTATGACTGGGACACATTTAAACTCCCTGTCTCTTACCTGCCTTTCCCCTACGTAAAAAAGCAAGCACAAGTGACATGTAAGATACGCATGTCCTCCTGAAGACATGATGATGACGAATAGGAAATACACATGATGTCCCGACTACAGAACAGACATTATGCTCCTATGTGTCATTTTAGTTCAATTTTTGTAACGCTTGTGGGAAAACTAAAAAAATCAGCCTTTCAGATGATGCAGCAAAGGGAAAAGCACCCTAAGCCCTGTATCCTATCATGGTGTCATCTTGTAATGCCAGGCTTAGACACAGACACACTTGGAAGACAGCCAAATCCCATAGGTTACTATCATGACAGGACATCTCTTCCTATGCCTGACAGCTTCTAAAAGCCTTTATGTTGGGCTGCTTTCAGAAGATCATGGCTAGACTGAAACATGGTGATTCCAGGGCATCAGTTCACAGGGATTCTAGAAACTTGGTTTCCTGTCTGTGTAGCCAATCGAGGCAACGAAACCAAGGCATCAAGATATAAGACAACAACAACCTAGACTGCAGAAAGCACTTCCTACCTTTATCTGTTTCACGTGGTATGAAGCCCTGATCCCCATCTTTTTCTCCACAAAAACCACAGGAAGAGAGGAACACCACTACTTCCTCTCTTGGTGCAGCAACAGAATGAAATCCACATGCAAATCACTTCCATTCCCCCCAGCTGTTTTTTTTTTACAAGCTGCGTTTCACACCTTATGTGAATGGATGATTAGGACTTTCACGACTTCCTGCCAAATTCTCCATTGTGCGGTTAATAGGATAATTGTAGCTGCATGAACTTTCCCTCCCCTTCCATTGTTTCTGGGGAATTCACATATTACTCTCAATGGCTATTGATCTAATAGGTGCTTCTATTTTCCTAGGTTGTGTTTTAATGCAATACACACCATGAGTAAGAAGAGGTTAAATGCAAACATGCAATTTCAAGTCACAAGAGGTCCATAAATTTGATCACAGTAAAAGACATTATCAAGTCATGAGCGTACAGATTGCCTGAGGAAAACTTAATGTTGTTTTGGTTGAATACAATAATTTCTGATACATATCAATTGCCTCTTATCACTTTAGCAAAAAAAAATCACATAAAGCAGGAACAGAATGAGGTTTTCTCTTCATCAATATTACCAGCATTAACTACATGCCATCATTATCTACAGTCTGAGTCACGACACCCTGGGTCTACTTCCATACCCGCTCTGTCAGTGTCAGGCCTTCCTAGAACTCAACAAGATTACAGAACTCCTATCTAGTTGTACAGTCATCTTTCTTAGTCTTACCGTGTCCACTTCGAACTCTTCCCACTCCAAGTCCGCCCAGGCAACCCACGACACCATTTTGGCAAAACTGGCAAGACTTTCCTCTCCGCTGTTCACAATTTCTTCTGTCTTGTTCTTGTAATCAAACGGCAACCCTTCCAATCTCCTGCTAGCTGCGGTTAATCTCCAGAAAAGAAAGGCTTTCAAAGTCCTCTTTCAATCAGCTCTTCCTCTCTCCCCTGGCACAACAGAGGATTTGGTACCCACCAGAGGGGCTAGCCATCTACTGGATGTCTTTCCAACTGTCTGACGCTGATTTCTCTTTGTCAAATTAGAAATTCAAGACCTGTAATCTGGAATTCTCCCCCCTATCAGGTCCTTGCCTGGTCCCCTCTCCATCACAGCTGCATTCCTCCAGACCATCTGGTCTACTTGCACATTGCACCTCCTTATCTCAAAACAAAAACTTGGAAACTTATGCTAATCACTCTTCCACTTCCTCCCTTCTTGAGCACACTTCTTCCAGACAGGAAAAAATCCAGGAGAAGGGGCAATCGAATAACAAACATACTCATGACATCATGTCTAAGGAAGGAATTCCATCAACCACAAGATAACCCCAGGAAAACTTGGATTCCGGTTAGTCTTTGCACACACTGATCAGAAGGTCAATACTGCAGGCAGTTTGTTCTCCTTGAACACAACTCGTGGCAAAAAGTCTGCCCTTTACAGTTGTGGTTGAACTCCCCTCCCTGACCTACTGACTTCTTTTGAACTAAAAACCACTTCGCAGCTAATAGAAAACAGACTGGCCCCTTCAGGTAGGTACAGAAGATGAGCAAAACAAGTCTGTTGTTTTGGTTAAGGACATATGGAGTATATAATGTCTACTACTTCCCTAGATCACATCTGATGTCTTAAGTGATGATGATGAACTCTTTCAAATATTGCAACATTTGTAAAGAATCACTTAGCCATGGACTTGTGCAAACATGAGGTCCTATGGGGAGGTGACAGAAGTTGCCCTGCCAGTCTGCTTGTTGTTTTTGGCCCTCCTTCACACCCAAGTGAAAAGAGACACCCCTGGACTTTAGGTCAACAATAATAGACTTATCACTCATCTCTTTCTCATTCAAATTCATGATCAAGATCCAATTAACCTTTCTGGTTTCAGATATTATCAAAGTAGGTAGAAGAGCAGGTATGGTAGCCCAAGGTCATAGGATAGCCCAAGTAATTGAAACTCATTGGGTGGCAAAATGTAGCTTTGCAAGTTCCATCTGTCATCTACAAATGGAAAATTTTGTTGAAAAAGGAAGTGGACTAAAGTTACAACCTACTGTTGATACTGTGTTTTGAGTGGGAAGTCCCACCACACAGGGGAAAACAAACAGGAAACTCAACATGGTGTTGTTTGTGTTTGTGTTGTTCCCTTCATTAACAGGAAAACAACACATTGCCTCACAGCACACATTGTCTGACTGAACCACACTTTCCCTTTACAAAAAAGGCAAAGACCAAATTGGTTGTAGTTTGATGCCGAGAAATGTTTCTCAGGGTCATATCTAGCTGGAGCAAAGAAGTTAAACCTCTTTTAACCTCCTGGGTTCGAGAAAGATTGGTTCTGTCAAGTATGCCCATCTAATGGAAAGGTCATGGCACAAGGGCAGATGGAAGATTTTCTCCACAAACTTTCTGTGACGTCAACTACATCCAAAGCTACCATGGGATGCCTGCCCTTTCCAAGAACAAATGTCTTCATGAGCGAAATGCTTTAACGTGCAGGCAAAGATCTTTTTGATAGCTCTGACTGTAAACCCTGTGCTTACTGCCCCCATTACCCTTTGCCTGACTTTCCCTTTGGTAACAGTTGCCCTCTAGTGAACAATCACACCAGTGCTTGGTTCCTTTTCCCTAACTAGATGACCTTCTCCAGGAGTTAGGCGGAAATGAGTGAACACAAACCTTGCTCAGCCACACTTGGAGACCCCGTTCCACCTTCCAACTGCAGTCCAGGTTCTCTTGAAAAGAATGGGTGGGATCCCTCATATCATCTACTAGTACTTACCCTATCTCGTTAAAAAAACCTTCACCAATGTGGAGTCCTTTTGTCCAAAGATTCCCAGAAAAGAACTGTAAGAAACTTTACAAGTCCTCGAGGTAGATGCCCCCACCACAGACAGTTTTCAGTATACCACGACTGAAACCGTGCCAAGAAATGAATTACCAGCACCATAACCAGTGGGGAAAAGGGCAGGGTTTTTACTGTTGAGAACAGGGTGAATGTCAAGAGCGATCATTGCAGATGACACCTCGGGTGCATCCCACCAAGTATAATGATAACCTACTGATCTAGTCCGACTTTGTCCACTTACCCATTCCACCTTCAGGTATATCACCAGCCAGAGTTAAGAAAGAAGGTTTATGATAAATTCCACTGTGCACATATCAAATTCACAAACGCACAAGACCAAGAATAGAACCCTGGACTTGAGGCCACTGCATTGCACCAGAGAGCCCTTACCAGTTTCTATATAAGATAGTGGCTTTAAACCATCCATAAATGACATTTTAGTTATTAGTGAGAAAGTAGAGACCCTGCCACCTGTGATCAACCTTACTGACCCCACTGAAAAACCACCAGACAGAAACCACAGACATGCTACACCAAGGGAATAATTTTACACACGATGGGTTTAAGGTTAGAAAAAGGGCACACGGTACATACATATAATTGAGATTAACCATCATCTAGACCTGATCAGAATACACATGAGTGCCATTCGACTTTATCACCTTAACATTTTGCAATCAAAACCGTGATCTTTATGAGATCTCAGTAATCAAATCATTTCTGAATCTTACCCAATCACGTATAGTACAAACAAGAAGGTTAAAGGGCTCCCTTTAACATCCTTGGTACAGAAAACCTTGTGCCCTGGTTTAAAACAACTTAAAGCAAAATGAAAACCTTAAAGAAAAAAAAACTAAAAACCGTGCATCACTGCAAGCATTCAAAACTTAATAAATTAAACTCCAAATTAAACCCAGTTAGTTTGTACTCAAACTGCAAACCACACGATGCATAACCAACTAAAACTAAACAAAAGGAAATTAAAATAGATGAATTAAAAAAAAATTGTTGTTATTTTGACACCACAAGTAAATGTCAAGTTTACCAAGTAACGGATTAAAGCCACAGTACAGCTCCATGCACCCCAGTACTTGGCACTCAATATTGAATTGACAGACGACGTTGACGACGTAGAGTTCTGTGGATTAGGGAATGGCACAAGATGGACAAATAACAAGAGTTAACACTGGGCCGCAGACGGCATGCAATGGACACACAAATCATGGTGGTGGGGTGAGGTGAGGTGAGGGATGGAGGGGAGGGGGGCGTGCTGCTACAGGGCTACAGAGGGAAGACATGGAAGGGTGATTAGAGACAAGGGTTTGTTATAGAAACACTATTTTACTTACATAAAACTAAGGCATGCAATATGAAGTATTCAAAAGGATGCGATAAACTTTACAAAAGGTGACGATGGATACTGAGAAAGAAGATTCTGTAGAAAATATACAAGAGATGATATTACATGAAGTTAAGTTATGGAGTGAAAATTAACACATATAACGAGAGTTAACATGTGTTTGGTGATCTTCTCTTCCTTCTTACGACAGATGTCTTACAAAGAGGAAGACTCCCACCTCACCGTTTGACCTGTAAGCTTTGCCCCTTACACCTAACCTACCCTGTACTGGTCCCTCCAGACTTTGAGGTGTTCCTGGTCATCCAGCACACCGTCTCTACTGGTCTCCTCATCAAGTACCTGCAAGTACAAGTATGATTATGAGCAAGGAGGTTATGAGCAACTAATGCATAGACATTTATCCTTTTTCTTCCTTCTCCTTGCAGTAATAATTCTGGCATAACGTTTGTGCTGCTATAAGCAACAGAGACAAGGTTGGGTTTAAGAGAGAGAAATGAAAACAGAGAATGTGATGTACTGGGGAATACTGAATAAACCATGACATTTTGTACCCACCTTTTCAGGCATATACAATCATACAATCAAAGAACTTCTACTCCTCTAGGTGTTGTTCTTCCTATTACTCCTATCATCAATATTAATTCCTATGTCCTGTGTACCACTTTGATAACATACAGTGATTTCTTTAACACAGAAATGCAAATCTAAACAGGATCTTCCAAACGGCTCATCGGTCATCTATTTCCCGTAGACATGAAGCGTCTTCAGAATTCCATGAATTTTCTATGAGTTTCCAGACACAGTTCAAGGACTCTGCAAGACTATCATTCTCAGGAAATTTGACTATGTCAAGGATACTTCTTGAGATGATGAATGATTTCTCCTTAATCTTATTATCCTACTTCAAGATCCTACTTCCTACCACGTCTCAAAGAAACAGCTGCAGGAAGCCCTTCATCCTTCAAGCCTAGGCAATGAAGATTCATCCCCCATCAGGGAATAAACCATTTGCCTCCTAAATTTGAAGCCTACAGCAGAGGTAACATCTCCCTTTCTCAGGTGGGCTTTATATAACAAGCAACGCACACAGTCACCTTTGGTGTCTGCCATGTCTACATCGTATCCGCATAAATTGAGAAAAGCTTTCGAGCTGGCTCCTTGTGGGGAAATGGAAAATGGAGCTTGGAGGTACTCTTTATTGAGAATTTTTTTTCCTGAGAAATGATGTTCCTAGAGGGGCCAGTAGTCTCTCAAGTCAAGGATGTTTTAATTTCAACTACAAACGTATGAATAACGTACATGCAGCTCTTTTCAGTGAAGTTGAAAAACCTCAATGCAATTCCCTGTTTTTATCAATTTGAATATAATTTTGAGTAGATTATGTAACTTCAACAAGTTTAGGTCAATATCTACATGTTTGACATATTCTCTGACAAATTTATGTCTTTTCAATTAGCATAATTCTTAATGGAAACATTTTGAATGTTATCATGAAGTTCTGTGTTAGTAGTATCATGGTGCAATGCTGCATTTATTCCAACACAACGGCACGCAAGGATCAAATTTTCAACAACCACTGTCTCCTTCTTCAGGATAAGAAATAACCAATCACTTTAGAAGGTGGCAATGCTTCTTATGTACCCTTGAGTTGGAATTAAGTGCAGCATTACACTATGATTTGGGATGTTGTTAAGCCTACTGCTCACCTCCATCGCTGCCTCTGCCTCTGACAGCCAGGCCAGGAACTCCTCCAGCTGCAGGCTGAACTTCTGCAGCTTCTCCAGCGCGTTCTTCAGGTTCTGCTGACGCTCATGACACCTGTCAATCAACCACAACAGTCAGTTACCCATCATCCACCAGGATAGTGCAGTATGGCAGCAATGCAGTACAAGTATACGGAACTGGTGGCATAAAGGTGGTCAAGGTGTCACAAGTTTAACTTTCTCCCTGCTGCCTAATCCTGTGCCCAATAAAAATTTGGTGATACCTTACCATGTCAGAACATGCTTGTTCAGAATCCAATTTTCAAGTATCATCAAACTGAGGTTTCGTTGCTCATTCTTCTCTTTTATACAGAGGCTTGGATATCATGTCTTGCAATGCACCAAACATCACACTACAACAGCGCATGTTCATGACATAGATCAGTTTCCCACAAATCTTATTTTCTAGGAAAAGTTTTCACCACCAACTTGAGGATTCCCCAGAAAAGTAGAGATCTATTTCCCCAACACAAAAGCTTACATTAACAAGATTCTTTCAGTAGGGCATTTTATACAAGTCAGGTAAACCTATTCATCAAATGCGCCCAGCATTACTTCTACTACATGGGATCATAATGGTGACTCTGACTTCTCTGATCTATGTCTGCAAATTGGTGATACATCAATCAAACGTTGATACTTTAACATTCGGGCCAGGACAGATGAAATGTCGTCGTCTCAAAATGGAATCAAAAGGCCGACTTTAGACTGACGACGGTATACGATCGCACGACAATCGTTGTGGGCGACGGCTGACTTTAGACGCATGACCAGGAAGTGTGGGGGACACCCACAGCGCAGGATGGCACGCCGCGCGCCAATTCAAAATGGCGAGAGAACCCCCTTTTTTAGGCATGCTGCAGCAGATTGTTTTTATTCTGCTTTTAACTCGTTCTGTGGATGAGACGCCGAGTTTGTGCCCAGCAAAGAGGGGTATGAGGCACATGTACCGAGCGGGGCAATACTCGTTCGGTGCTGCCATCGGCCTGGCTATATTGGCCGAGAAATGTGGATCGTCGGATCGGTTCGTACCGGAGAAGTAGCGATTGGTGGCAGGGGATTGTGCTAGACACGTATGACAATATAAAGTCTTTGGTTTGACAACATTTAAATGATACAGGCGATATGCTTGGACATGAAATAACGCTTGCAGGCTTATTTGCATAAGTTCAATGACCTCCCACTTCCTTCGCCGGCGACGGTTCACTTTAGACGGTGGAAAATCCTCCTCGGACCCCCCCTGCTGAAGGATCGCACGATAGGGTCCGAGGTGGTAGTGACGACGATTCGAGGATTACCGTCGTGCGACTATTTTGATTGTCTTTAGACGGTGGTAAAATACCGTCGCCGGCAACATCTTGACGATAAACATTCGTACGACTATTTAACCGTCGTCAGTCTAAAGTGCCCCAAAGGCTAAGAGCAGTCTACTGTCTCCACAGGAGAAATTTGAAGATTGATAATATGAGGGAAGATATGGGAACATGAAGTCTTGGTACAGTTTCAAAAGAAGTAATTGATCATTCAATACTGACAATTGAAACATATCTCCAAATTGTATCCCAAAAGGCCTGCCAGCATGCCATTTAATCATATAACATAAGATTCTTTAAAAAAAAAAGCAAGGTGTTGTATTGAAAGATGATCATTAATTCTTACTGGAATATATTTTGATTGATTCAAGATATTGTTGAAGGAATCAAGATAAAACTGTCCAAATATGCACAACTCTGGAGGCCTAAATAGGAAGATCATCATCTCTATTTTGGCAAAGTTTAAGATGGCACGTCTCCAATGTGAGACACAGCAGTCCATGCAATCTGAGGCACAGCTTAGCTTTCTACCCTATTGATCTCTTCATCTGGTACTGGACATAATCAGGCCACTAGTAAAGAGTCTTTCCCCCCTTATCATCCCTCACCACAGGCTGACCATTACTCACCAACCCGGCCAGGTAATGAAGCCACAAGCAGACCTCCTGCCCTAATGGCAAAACCCATTTATCCATTCTCTTCTCAATAGCCGTGCTCATCACGGCGCTCTTCACAACACACTCCAGCTTTGGGGTCAAATAATGAATGTAATTCGTACCAAGCCCAACAGCTAGCAGCAGTTAATGACCATGGAAATCACGTACGGAGTCAATTCAGCAGCAGTAAAACGCGCCAGTGCTCTACTGTGTCAGCAGAGTATTTGGGGATGATTTGATAGCTAGCGCTCCCAGCAGGTGCTAAAAACCGTTCATTTTGAAACAGCAACGCAATCACAATATCATGCTTACGATGCATGAAATGCCTCGCTCCTCGATGTTACAGACTTGCGACAAACCATCTTTTTTTGAACGTCGGCCAGTAGCCAATGTAAAGATACCGCATCGTACTTGACAGCTTAATAACAAATGTGGCCAAAGACACACCCACATGATCACAGCAACTGCTGAAAACAGATGCTACCTGCAACGTAAACAGATGGATGCCACAGTAATAGGACACAAAGGGGCAACGATTGGCAATAAACTAGGACTACAAGGATAGATAACTCTTCCATTCTTCACAACGTAACCTGACCCAAGGCTTCAAATACTTTATTTCAGCTTCCTGCAAAGTGATTAATTATAGTATTCAGCATGTGTTCTTTTACCTTGCAAAATTGTAAGGTGTTGCTATCTTTTTCTGCAAGCTCAACATTTTTTTGTGCAAATTGTGGGTTAAAGGTGGTTTTTTTCAAGCCATGGCGCTTGATTGAAAGCAAAACTGCATTTCCTTGTCCACCATCCCTAATGTCAGTTGTTTGTGACTGACTGCGGAAGATGTTCTAAATGGAACTATTGATAACACACAACCACAAGCTCTAACTACGTCCATGTCATAAATAACTATTACTACCCCCAGGCCCATTCCAAACTAAAAGCTGCCAGAGCCAAGCAGGGCTATTTGTAATTCCAAAGAGTCTGACAAAAGGTGGAGGTAAAGCCATAACACAGCTTTTCAGAGTGCTTTGAAACTGCACTGGGCAAATAAAGGCTGGCATTAAAGGACAATGCTCCCACATTCAGGTCTATTTTGTGTCAAATGTCCTATGATAGAAGCCACATCTTCTATCATAATGCTATTGGGATTCTTTTATGATGACATAGCTACACATAAACCTTGACTTCTTTGCATGAAAGATGTAGACAGTAAGTGTTCAGCACGTGAGCTTTAAAGTCCCAAGTCAGTTGTTGAATGTGATATAATTGCGCACAGAAAAAAGAACTGTCAGATTCACCTGTTGTTTAATTGTTGCCACCTGCTGTTCACGCGATCGATCATCTGTTTGATCTTACTGGTGTCATCATTACTGTAGTCAGAGATGAGCTTCTGGGCCAGTTCATTTACTGCTTCAATGCTGGGCTGCCATTGTCGCAAGTTGTCCATGAATTCCTATTGAGAAAATAAAAGTGTAAGTTGTGAAAAATATGGACATATCTTTTCTTTACAGTGAATAGCGAACAGTTAGCTTGTGACCTTGATCTCCAAAGACATGGCAATATCATAATGTACGCTGTAATTTGCAAAAAGAGATTATTTCAGAATGAAACCAAGATTAAGAGAACATGGCAATGCGTAATTCAACAACACTTCATGTCGCTGCACAATTTTCTGCAGTAAATCCTATTTCAAATGCCTTCTTCCACAAACTGGCCTGGAGGTTGGTGTAAGCAATGTTCAGGGAGAGATATCAGGGCCAGATGCAGATGTATAACAATTTGACATTGAACTCTGTGCAATCAATTCCACGACGCCGGACGCCTCTGTTGCTGATCGTCAGAACGTCTCGACTGCTGCCAGAGGCAATTAACGGCAAGATTTTGTATGTCCTTGAGTGATATTGGTTTCAAACTAAGTCTGTTGCAGCAGACAGTTAATGTCTCAGTCATGTAAGACGCTGGTTATTAACTCCATACTTAGACTTTCTGTCATTGCTTTTGCCCTTTCAGTGGCTGGCCTGAACTTCCACCGCTGTCTAATTTATAGACAGCAGACAGGCTCTATAATTGCCCAGTGACCACACAGCAACTTTTATTTCCCCATGGCAATATAAATGTAATTTCCAGTTGTGCAAAGGCAATGAAAAGCCGTTACAAAAGATATATCTGGCGGAAGTTGGCTTTCAGCTATAAAAATGAGACACTGGACAGGAAAGCACTAATCCAGAAAAGACCTGGCCTGGCTTTTTAGCACAGAATACGTGAGCACACATTATTACTGGTGAACTAGCCTACAGTTTTCTATACTACGTATAAAATATAATAGGTTCAACACTATACATTAGTGCTTATTAGTGTAGGGATTGAATTTTACAAGGCATATTCTAGAATGCAGGTCAATATTGGTACAAAGTAGCTGCTTTCACACAGGTTAAAATGACAATTTTTTTGCTGTTTAAGATATGACTTAGTTACTGAATAGTTGCTTTGGTCATACAGCTTATGACAAGGCAATGTTTCTCCCATACCAGTCTAGTAATTGATGATTAACTGGAAAGGTAACATTTGCAAAGCAAATGCATATTTACCTTTGCATGTGGTCTGCTCTGTTAATTCTTACTCAAACACAGTCATACAAACACATTCATACATATGGTCAAACAGGAGTCTAAATCCCTCTTGCTATAAAATTGCAATATGATGTAACCCAACACTAGTTACCATGGTCACAGACATCTGGTTCATGTCATTGAACTTCTTTGTTTGGAGAACAAGAGGAAGAAGAAGAAGAAACAGAGCAAAAGCAATAGGCTTTCCTTCTGTGAAGGTAAACATGAGGATTTAAAGTGGGTTTAAAGTAAGATAAACCAGTCAGTGTGCTAGCGGACAAACCTTGTGCTGCGCTATCTGCTTGTCCAGAACATCGACCGTCTGTCCGACCTCCGAGTCGTGCTCCACCTGTTGTTCTGCCTGCTCCAGCCACCTGTTGACGTCCTCCCTCAGCTCGTCCCAGTGGTGGCAGTCTGTCAGCATGTTGTCCAGCTCTCTCTTCCTGCTGCCCACACGGGTCGACGCCTCGTCCCACTGCTCCTGTATTCTGTCCACTGCAAGTGAAGGTACAACAATTAACATTAGGGCAGTACATTGGAAGCAGTGGTTAACCTACTACATACAAGTGGATGAAGTTTGACTGCATTGTTCTGCTGCCCACCCAAATCAATGCCTCGTGCCCTTGTCTCACTGCTCTTGTATTCTGTCCACTTCAAGTGAAGGTACAGCAGGTTAATTTCAGTAGACTGCACTGGAAGCAGTTGGAAACCTACAACATGTGGATGAAGTTTGATTGCATTGTTCTGCTGCCCACCCAAGTCAATGCCTCGTGTCACATTTTTTGTATTGTCAACTGAAAGTTAAGACTTAGCAGTTGATGAAGACAGCAGGCCATTGTACTGTGATTACAAGTAGTTATATTAATTCTTTAACAAACTACAATGGGATAGTGCTTATCTGTAGCACCCAATGGTTTCTCGTACACACACAGGTAAGCTTGAGTGGCAAAGATTGATGACATGTTATTTTACTTCTAAGATATGCGCACGAATGACATATCACCCGCAAATTACATGTTCCCTTACTGATGTGTGAGCTTTGACGTCAAACCTAGATTACAACTGCCATTTCGCATCATCCCAAGCATGTTTCAAAGAAAGACTGAGTATCATTTTCAAACAGACACGTAATATTCAGATAAAGACAGCATGAATCAGCAGCAACTTAATATATTGTCTTAGATAGTTGCCAAAAGAAGACATTCAAGAAAACTAGATGGAACATGAGAAGACACGGAGCACTAAAGAATACAGATAACATTGATTTTTGTTATCTCTTTCAGACAACGCAACAGAGCCTTAAGAAAGAATGCCCCTCAGCCAAGCTGTGAGATACGATGTTGGCAGTGCCGAGTCAGCTGGGTAGCACTTTAAGCCTGATGGCTGATGTTCTTATCTTACCCTTCTCCTTGAGGAGCTGCTTGTCGCTGTCTGTATCGGCAGTTTGAATGAGTCGTCTGCCGGCAGCAACCACTGTATCCAGCTGGGGCTTCTTCACGTCAAGGTCATTTAAGACGGTCTGTAAAGGGCAAGACACACGGTCAGGTTCAAGGAGAAACAAATCACATGGATTTTTAAGGAAGTAGAAAGGAAAATGGGCTAGCTGGCAATGCCTCCCAGAGGCTGCACTGTCTTTAAGTTGTGCTGTTTTTCTCCTCTGCATGTCTAGGCAATGTTTGTAGCATTCATCATTCAAATTTTCAATGCTAATCTTAGCTGTTGTGGGAGGGTACACATCCATCACACAAAAATATAAACGGTTTCTCCCAAGTCTGCCACTTGCTGGTTTCCTTTAATGCGATTTCAGGAGTCGAAAGAATCTTTAAATGCCAATGATAATTGATTTATGCCACTGCCTTTAAAACGGTTCGAGTGCAAATATCCTTAGTAGCTATAGTGCATAATTCAGCAGCTATCTCTTAAACGCTGAGTAAGCGAGGCAAGAATTTTCATGCAGGATTATCTTATGCAATCCAGAAGATAGATGGTTGTTGTTGGCCTGACATGTACTAATTAGCCATAAATTCAACTCAATTCCTTTCTTCACAGCTGCAGTAACGAGGATTATCCATCATGATGAGGTAGGCAGCTACAGATCTTTATCTACCGGAGCGGAGGGTAGCGCCATTTTACCTTCTGCTTGATTATCATCTCTTCGATCTCTTCTACGTCTCCCACGGTAACAATCTGCGACTTCAGCATGTGGTCGAGCAGCATCAGCCAGTCACGCAGCTCGGCCACCGACTTGTCAAAGTCGGGGTACATGGACGGCATGTCTGCTCTGGCCTGCATGGCACCAACTTCTATCCTTGCCGTCTCCATCTCCTCCATAGACCCTGGGTTTTTTGTTAAATGAGCCACAGTGCAGGTAAGCTATGTTTGTAATTACAGAACATTTCACCACTGACATTGATCAAAGATGGAACAACATGTGATCTTTGGCTAATTTCATGTCTCTGTTTACTACATGCCAGTAAAATGGCACATGTTGAAAACACTAGAAACACGCTATTTGCTAGTAAAAAAGCTACTCAATTGCAAAATACCATCGATCTGAGAAACATGTTCCAAAGCATCAAAACAATCAACGTCAAAGAACTGAACAATATGATGACTGGGATGCTTCCCAGTATCAGATGCCAAATCGATAACTATCAAAGGAAGAACTTCAGCGGCTTCATTCAAACGACCCAATAGACTGTAAAGTGCAGCCCGAGGTCTGACTTTATGGCAGGTTTATGTAACACATGGGGCCACATACAATTTTCGGATGTAAGAGGATATTGATTAGAACCTACTTCTTTGCTCCATGACCAGGGATTCGACATCTGAATCTGAGGTTGGTCTGAGGTTGGCTGCCATGTAGCGGATCTTGGCCCAGTCTGCATTCAGCTTCCTTATCTTGTCTCTGACGTAGTCGGGTACCTCCACTTCCAGATCCTTGCTCTCCGTCACCAGGCTGTTGTACGTGAGGTTGACGTTATCGACGTTGGACTGACGCGCCGTCAGGGCATCTTTCATCGTCTGTTGGCAGGGGCAGACACAAGTTTTGTAGATGTTAATGTCCAGGACTGTGCCATTTTCACAGAGGTGATCATAGAATGGTGTAAAATTGGCACAACAGTAACGCGCATAGCTAATAACTGCTTTAATATCCATCAGCAAACTGAACAAATGGAAAGACATTACTAAAAAGAAAATGTAAATGTACATATATATTTTAAATGAGAATATGCTTCAACGTAATTTGAATGCTTATTTTTGTAGATCCAGTAATTTTGACTGTTATGAGAATTTCTAAGTACTTTCTCCTTTTTGTAAGTGTTTTCAATTCAATTTTTTTCCTCCAAATGTCAGGAATCCTCATATGGAAACAAGCTGTCCACCCATGCAAATGTACTGCACTCTTTAGACCTGCCGAAAGCTGAGAAATAAATGAGTGTCAAGTACAGAAAGAGTCAACACCGTCCATAAAAGGGGAGTCCATCCTTCATGCAGAGCCAGTGGCAGGTGATGAAAAGTTCACAATTTCAACCTAATAACGTCAAATAGCCGGGAGAATACCCAGAAGCAATATATATGATGTTTCCCTGGGTCAGTAAAGGTTGCCTGTCCACTGGAGATAGGCATAAAGACTATGTAAGCACTCGTAAAACACAAGCCACGGCTTTATGGATTCTCTGTTTCTCATATTCTCGTCCATGCTTTGAATCCCATCAGTAGTAAAAAGATGCACTTTATGGCTGGAACTAAAGCCTTCCACAAAAATATTGCTCCCACAGGCATGCAATAAAGATTATGAGCGTTCTCACAAGATGTCCGCACACTTGAGATAAGCAGAATGCAAGGCTAATCCAATTAAATCTGTTTTTAAGTCACTCATCAACAATAATTCACATATGAGGATCACAAACATTTAAAGACGGTTTAGAAATACAACTGCAGCAATAGGGTCAACTGCTGCAGTGTCCTCTACAAAAAGTGCAGACAATAACTGGCCATACTAAAATATTTGGGCTTCCTGCCTGTAAGTTCTAGGGAATTAGTGAACCATAGAAGTATAGGTGTACAGTAAGTTTTGAAAGTACCCAGACTAAGGTACAATATGCTTGATTTTTTTTCCTTTAGGAATAGCAAGTTTGTCTTTAGACGAATGTTGTTTAAGAGTCATACACAAGAACAGGTGGTAAGATATAAATTGTAAATACTGTCTTACTATTATAATAGACAGTATTGTGTCAATACAGATGTCTAAAGTTTAATGATGTATCAATATTGGGAAATTTGGGGTAAGTCCCAATTTACACAGTGTTGGCAAGAACGTTTACAACCTTTTGTCATAATTTATCAATACTGTCTTGATATTCAACAAAAGTAGGTAGTTTTACAGTGTCCATAGGAGTCATCAGGCTATTTTACAGCATATAAATCTGGTTATTTCAAATCAGAAAGATACAAGCAATTTGGAAATCCAATTAACTTTTAACTTTTATTATCTCTAGAAGTACTGCTGTTATAATAAAAATATAGATAACAAAACACACTGAGAAAAGCACATTTTATGCCTGTAAAACTTTCGACCTGCACAATCAATAGCAAGAAGATACAATCAATATGGTAAGGCTTTAAAGTTAATCGAATTTCGAAATGTCTTTGTAACCCTTTTTGAAAATTGACCAGCGGTAAATAGACATCATGTTAGATGTAGTAAATGTAACCAGTGATGTGTCTAATCACGACAAGGGTGTGGTAACTGGTGAAATTAATGTAACATTTTACAGGCTGGAGGACACTTTGTACATTACCATCCTTCATTAATTCCTTGTGGGACAAGATAATGCGGGATTTTAAGCATTGGGAATAATTCACGTCATGCTGCCAACACTATGAGAGCAAAGACACACACTGAGATCGAGGAAGTAAGAATGCCCATGGGATAGAGCTGTTGATTGGAATCTAAAATGAGAAACAAAATTTCAAGTTATTAAGCGTTACCCTTGCAATTAGTGAATGTGTTAAAATTAATGGACATGTTGATGTGTGCAATTAACTCAGGTGCAGAGGGAGACTTGTTATTATTTGAGGCATTGATGCAGGAGTAGATAGATTTGTTTGTATTCTGCATAACCCCAGCAGCTACAATTTGTGCAGAGCTACAGGGACACATTTAATTCAGCTCATGATCATCTCATGATGCTTGTTTTGTCATTGTGCCAACTAGCAGCTGAACTCTACAACTTGCGGGCTTTTGTTGCTAACAGATTGGCCAGTTTTATTCTCACTTCAGATCTGAAGCCACCATGAGGCAATAAGGTAGTTATAGCAAGGAACTGCTTGGTTTGTCACTATCTCAGCTGATGAACTTAACAACATGCAGGCTTAAGAGACCAATAGGGGAGCACGTCGGCAAAATGTACTGCACCTGTGAGAAACCCGTAATGTATTTTGCATAGCACTTCGGCAGAACGTCTCATATAAGGTCGTATTCGCACATGTAAGGTTAACACTCTGTCTGCAGTTTACAAATGTCATGTCAGAAAAGATATCCTCTGCAACAGGCAAAATTCTAATGCAATGTTGACCAACAAAAACCAGGTTTTGTGCAGGCGTAGTACGTCCTGCCGACGTGTTGGGGAGGGGGGCACATTTCTGAACCCCAGCCTACCTTAGGGTCGATGATGACCTGATCTCCCTCGTCAAACGAGGTAGCGCTGGAGATGGGGCCCTTCTGCTGCTCCAGCAGCTGCATGGTGTGGGCCATCCACACCAACAGCTCCTCCAGCTCCTCCAGGAACGTGCGGCAGAAGTGCAGCTGGTCCTGCAGACCGCGACGCTTCTGGGGGATCTCCGGCGTCACCTGCACAAGGTAAGTAATTGTACAATCCTTTACTAGAAAAATATGTTTAAAATATCATCCTCCCTAGATTTTGTACAGAGGATCTTGGCATAATTGAAAACCTATAACTCTCTTCATCAGCTACATGTAGCTTTAGAGAAACACTTGGAATTGTGCACATACAAGGCCTAGGGGTGACAAGTTGTTTTATCAAATGCAGCAACGTCAATGTGTTATGCCAAATAAAGACTACACTACACTGACCAATTGCAAATACAGATACTAACATGTTGTGGTGTGTTGAGAGGCAATAACTGAAAGACCTTAAAGTTTAATGACAAAATCACAATGTACATGTACTGCATAAACTTTCGCAAACACCGATATTTCTTGAATGGATCAGTAAACCACGGTGCTTTATTCAAAGGTTACGTGTATGCAACCCACCGTCAGCCATCTTGTGTTCAGGTTGTCCACCTTCTTCTTGACATTGCTGACCAGCGCCTTGGAAGCGCCCGGAGTCGTCATGATCCTGTTCCCTGTCTGGTTAATGGTGTTCACATTGTCCTGTCTGGACCCAAGGTCATTCTCCTTGTCCTTCAAGGTTATAACAAAAGGAAAGAACACAATGTAAAAAATACATACATCCCTACCTAAAAGAAGACTGCTTTAAAAGAATAAGCAAAGGAGAACATATTTCTTTGTTCAAAACAAAATACAGAACTGTTTCTAGACAAAACATTCACCTCAGTAAAGCCTAACATACACTCATTAGTATTCAACATACAAATCATCCAGAGAAAAACCTTGCTTCCACAAAGCAGAAATGTCTTAAGTGGAAAACAAATATCACTATTAGCTTTTGACAAATAAAAGCTTAATTAACAGTAACATATAAAAAACTGATACTCAAGTCCATAAAATGTATCAGTGATTCTGCACAATCAAGACAGTCATATTCACTCTGAAATGTGTCTGACATGTCAGAAATTCAAAATAAGTGTCCCCGACCAATTCTGAGTTAAAGTTTTATTTTGGTACAGTTAGCCAGAATAGCGCAGTTGAAGGCTTAAAATATGCTTTTTGGGCGCGACCAACATGTCCAGATAGAGACATCAGAAGTCGTTTTCCGTGCTACTGTTGAGGTCCTTCTGATGTCTGTCTGGACATGTTGGTCTTGAATCACAATTTTATTCCACTTAAGTATAGATTTTTACATGTTACTTTTGAGCTTTTATTTGTCAAAAGCTGAACAGTGATATTTGTTTAAGTCCATAAAACTGTATCAGTGAATCTGCAGAAGATAAAGGTCTCGAGAAAGACCGTACCTTGACTTTCTCCAGAGCTTCCTCTAGCTGGTCCTCGTCAGCGGGACAGACCTGCTTGTTAAGGATGCCCTCTGTGTCCTCCAGCCAAAACAGCAGCTCATCAATCTCCTCCTGGAACTCCTCTGTCTGCATGCTCGCCTCCTCAAACCTGGGCAATGAGTTAATCACAACTGGTTAATAACTATGTATAAAACTATGCAACGTTCATACACACGTAGCTGGTTGATAGGTTATTATTGACAGTTGACACTACTCAATACTGATGAATTTACATATGGAAAAACTTGCCGCCTCAAACCCAGGAAGTTAATGACAACTGGTTAATCACTATGTATAAACTCAGAACAGAATCCAGGAAGAGGTCTATGTAACGTTCATATAGCTAGTAGTGGTTGAGAGGTGCTGGTTAGGTAGGTAAATAGCTTATTCATAGGTTATTATTCACAGTTGACACTAGACAATACTGATGAATTTACATATTGCACTTTTTGACTCTTGCAAAATCTAATCAATTTTACACATAAGTATAAGTATCAAGTATTAACTTTCTATTAATATACTTCAACTTATTGCTGCGTCTACAGAAAGTTTCACATAAATATTGGACAATCCTTCAATACAGGATATACATGTATATCTAGTTATTGAGGTACTGATTTTAGAAATATTGATCAGATATTTCAACTTGATACCTAACTGCTATCGATAGCAATTAGAATAACTAGGGAACGGGACAAGATCAAAATGACTATTGATTTTGACAAACATTATACGCACAACTGTTTACAATATCATTCTAATATAATACAGTTCCCTCCTTTTTAAAGTGTGACAGTCCAAGTAACAAACAGGCAAACCAGTGCTGCATTGAGTTAACCTAAACCCTATTGTTTCCCAATGATGACATCAACTCTAACCCACCAGTGCAACTTGGCAAAAGGCGTGAAGTCTATATCAAGGTATGAGATATTACATCAGGCCTTTAGGCCATATTGATTTCCCCATGTCACTGCCACTTACAATGACAAATCGCCAACATGCATGCATTATTCACATTTAAAGCAACACACATGTAACCTAAGCATGTTGGACACCCAAAATAAAACTACCTGTCACACTACAGCGGTGATTCCATCAAATATACATCCCGGAATCAATATGGCGAAGTCCTGGCAACAAAAATACCACGCAGAGCTGTTTGTATTCCTGCAGCCCTGTGCTGATGACATGTATTTGTACATGTAGGACCTGGTGGATATTAATTATTTCCACCCGAGAATAGAACAGACACATTGCATCTCCATTATTCCCACTAATTACCATGTACCATGTCACTTTGGGTACACCCTTACTGCGATTATTCCCTCACATGCCGTAATAAAGGCACAAGCTGCCAGTGCACGCTGTTCCTTTGGGTCTCCGCTGAAATACTGCTACAGTTTGATACACCACGAGAGAAAAGATGATATACTTGATTGTAAAAATTGTAAAGTGCCGACTTTCTTGCTATCAGGAAGCCGTGAAGTGGCAGTGGCAGAGGTTAAGCTTGGACAGGATTAATGAAAAATGTTGTGAAGCCGACCACTTATCTTTGCTACAAGCGGGACGGTGTTAAAAGCAGCGGCAGAATATTCCGCCCCCCCCTTGCAGGGGAGAAGCAGATACATATCACATGAGAGTGTCGACCTTGTTTGAGCTTCATAGTTATCTGGGCACTCTGCGTGAGAAGCTGATGAGCAATACTGTGCTGCTACTTTGGTTTAAAATTCAATCTGGGCCTGTACAGGTAGCTGTTTTTCACTGGAAACAATGTTCTTATTACCCTGTAAATTACAGGTGATCATTTCTGCTCTGATCACAAGTACGAGGGAATGTTACATTTCTTCTCCTTATTATTGTTAACAACCATAACAAAAGGGCCAATGTTGTTAATGCAAAATGTTTGTTTCTCTGATTATTGTTTCTCTGATAATTGTAGGTTGGCATTTGCTAAGATAAGTACGATAAAAATTTTCACTTTTTCTTCTTGTTGTTGTTGTGGTCAAACCTGCACCAATACCTACAATTATAAGGTTTTCAACCTAAATACATGTATTATTTACGGTACAGTGATTCCGTTCAAAACATTGGGGGAGAATACCTGTAACATGTCATCTAACAACTTACCACCACTGCAGGTATCCATAGTTAATGGGCATGTCTCTTTTATACTTTACAGAACATAACATTTGAAAATGAAACCACAATAGCTGAGAACATGCCGTGATGAAGTCATCTTGCCAAGTCGCTCAAGCCTTCACAGCTTGCTTTGTGACCTGTGAACTCTTGCCTTCAGGAAAGTTGTCAATCTTCAACCACGCAACCTGTTGTGGTCACATGACAACAGTTAGGAGAGAAAGCCCGTAATTTTCATGCAAACTAGGAGGAGGGGCTAGAGGATAGCCTTAAGGTAGCTTCCTAGCATTAGGGAAAAAGCCAGTAGTGGCAACAGCATATAGGGCTGGGATTTTTTGGTTGAACCGTAGAAGGAATTATTGGTCGGCAGGTATGAATTTATGAGGTCTGGTGGTTGTTACCTTGTAAAAAGGCTGGGTATACTGCATGGCAATCATGACTGATGCATTTAGTTTGACATGCCCAAGGCCACAGAGCACCTTGTAATTTTCTCCGGGCAGTGGCAAGGGAATGCTGTTGATTTGCATCAAGTCCATTCCAAATTTTTCCAGGTATTAGTCAAGGCCAACATAAACTACCATATATACATTTTGTACACCCACTCTTATGTCACTACACTTAGACATTAACGCCTTCTGAAGTTATTTATGATCGTTAGCACCAATGTTCCTAGGCAATTACCCTGCATATTGATAGATAGTGAATCACATGCTGCTGAGGATAATTTTATATACAAGTAAGAATGGAGGCACCCTAAATCTTAACTAGTAAATGTCAACACGTAATGTTAACAAATGCACATTACACCCACCCCGGCGTGCAACCAAAATGTCATCCTGCACTTGCATACACATTTTCCATCTCAAGAGAACATCTCCTCATAACATAATAGCTCAATGTTATTACTATTCACGCTACAGTCATGTGAACTTGAAAATAATCATGATTCAAAAGTTCCTTTACTTTTGAATTCTTGGTACAAGGGGGATACAAAATTTGAAACGTTTGGTATTGTGCTCTACAGTCAGGAGCTCTGAACAAGATGCCTGATGTCAAAACGTAAGGAGAGACTCTATACAGGTTGCGTAAAAATAAACTCTAATGTCCTACATATTCTTCACAGATTCTCAGAGATTCCAAACTGGCATCACTCCAGCAAGCTGTGCCAATCTCCAATCCCACCACGTTCTACAGGGTAACAAGGTCGACTTTGTGTCAAATTACCATCAGACACATGACCTTTATCCCACAGGGTCGGGGATGCCCCCCTTTAATTCCCTAATCCCTCCATCTGTAATCCCCCAGGACGCCCCTGAATGTAATTGCAGTGGTGCTCTAACCCTCCCTTTCAGCGGGGAGCCAAGTTTGGGGCTGAAAGGCCACGGAGGGAGGTTTAATCAGATTCTGCTGGGCCAGCAAGGTGCAGGGGTGGCTAATGTGTCATTTCCACTGGCCATGTTTCAGTTATCAAAATATGAAAGGACACTGACAGGACGATATGATGGCGAGAACAAATTTGAAAGTCAGACCAGGTTGATAAGTATGCAACATCTCTTAAATGTACATTCTTAATGGACAACAATCAAAACATGTAACAAGAGATGGCTACCTATTAAAAGCAAACCAATTTTATTGTGATTTGTGTGATTTGCTTTTCGGCTAAGATTTAAATACTACTAATAGGCAATTTGTCTAGAGTTATAACCTTACAGAGAGATTAGCATTAGAGGATAAAGGAATACAGTTACCAGGACCTGGTATTACAAGACAAATATGGTATGAATCTAAAGAGAAGACCATTGAACACCACAGAAAATCCTTAACTACCTTGCAACAGAAAACCGTGCTACACATCATTTGTTTAAATCATCAGATAGATACACCCCTACATCCAGGCAAAGCCTTCTCTTCTGCTTCTTCATTCTTACATGTCACTGCGTTTGACATGACTAATGTCTCAAACAAAGGCAACGTATCCAGATGGATGACATACATGTGCCATGATCTTCACACTTGGCTGCACTGCCTGCACTCTCTCCCCTAACTCCAGTAAATCACAGCTCCCTCCTGTCAAAAGATGCTGATCCCAGCAGGTGGAGTTCCATCTCCCAGCTTCCTGTGCTGCTTTCAGATTTGACGTGACAGATATCACTAGAGGTTGAGACAAGCACAACTTGAGTAAATCAGAATTCCCTCCTGGCAAGTGCACGGGCTGATACGAGCGATGGAAGATGATGAATACAAGTTACATCTCTTGTTCCATCAGACTTGGGATTGAGATAAAAGCATCAAGAGTGAATTGTAGATAAGACTCCTGGTGTGCCCTAATCGTGAAGTTTGACTCCCATGTAAAATGCACAATGATGTACAAAATGGGATTGTTGATTTAAGCGGTTAGTTTGTGGGCTGCCCCCCGCGACCCACCTGCACAGTTCAAACGCTGGTTAATCCTCATCCCTCACAAATTGAATATCCGATTGTTTCAGGCATCGTTGATTCCACCGTTTCACATTCCCGGGGACCTGCGGTAACGCGTGCTGCCACGGCTGGGGGCTGGATGGAGCTTCTTGGCTCGTCACTGCAGGGCATTAATGCAAAAGGTCAAGTCGCGACACAACCTGAGCATGTCAGGCTACATTTCTGCACCAGCTGCCGTTTGGTATCGATCCAGCCTCCACAGCCGGGAACGGGGAACAGACGTCCACAGCACCATCAGTCTCCACTCCAGCACACTGCTCTGTAAAACCTGGCAGCTCCAGCGGGCTCCTTCATCTGAATCGCTGGATCCCGACCAATCCAAGAACGGCTACGACTGTCCCAGTCCCGCGTCGATACAGAGTCGGCTTGACAAATGTCACCATGGCGGAGGGATTAAATCGGCGTGTCACACTTCCAGGTACTGGGAATAATTGTGCTAACCCTGTTACTGCCACGACGCAGCTCCCTTTAATGCCAGGAGGTTAGCGGGGGTAATTGAACTAACCAAGCTTGCTGGTGACATTACTTGTGTACTTTCTCAGGGCAGTTGCTTTAGAGGACACATGAAATGGGCCGATGAATCATCCAAATGGGTGATAGACGTCTGGAAACCGGTGCCTTCTCCCTCCAGCATCTCTCCGAATGATCCAAACAAATCTGGGCCGGGAGATCCTTGCCGCGCTCCTGGTGTTGACGTCAGGTGGAGGAGGTGGCAAAAGCAGCACAGCAGCGATGCCCGATCGATGAAGTGGTGCTTCCAAATGCCAAGTGTGGATATTGAGGAATTTCCCTCCATTCGTCTCCATCAATAAGCAGTGCTACCACAGGAGGCATGCGAGACGGACCGGCAGCACAGCCAGACTAGAAAGAGTGAGACGAACGAGTCTTGCTCGCACTCAACCTGATTCGTTTGGTCATAACACCGTGCAATTTGCTCCAAATGAAAGGATATTGCAGTAAAAATGCTAACACATTATGACAATGAAGCCAAATAAAGGAGATATAGTAATGGCACTAACAGTCCCATTTAATTAGACTATGACCTGTATTATGAATAGATAATTCCTTTTACAATTCAAAACATGCACCGACGCAGTGCAACGAAATCTTATCATTCTATGACATTTTCTAGGCTGACAATTATTCAAACTATACAGGGACGGGGTGCAACAAACTCATAAGCGATGACGGTTTGCGAGGCTTCAAATTATTCAAACCCGGGCAATTCCCCGACCCCACCCTAATTCGTCAGTGCTCTGCACCCCGTGGCACAACTCACGCTGCCGAGGAAAGGGGTCATGATGTGCCCGTTATGACTTGACCATCCATAATGCAGAATGAATGGGTGCACTGGTCAGAGTTAACAGCTGTGACTGGTAAAACATACCACAGCGCCATTTCTGCCGCTGGACTGGAATATTGATAAGTTTGAAGCTGACGTTTCTCATACACATTCTACTTTTCCACAGCATGAACAGAAGGGAAATAGAACCATATTTAGAGAGAGTAAGATTCACAAGTTTGAAGCTGACATTTCTCATAGACACTTTAATTTTCCACAGCAAGAACAGCAGGAAAAGGGTAGTCATATTCAAAACATTTACTTTTTTCAACAGCCATGATTATATGAATTTAATTTGATAGATGAGATCGTTATGTCTATTATGATGGGAAAAGCTCGCTCATTAATGTCAGTTAAGATAAATGTGAGCAACATTTTCATTCATTTATTGGCAGTGATAGGCAAATATAAGGTAAATCTAGCACAACCCTGAAATGAATGTGTAAATCATTACCATGACGCTAACTGACACTGTCATGTCATAAGTCACCAGCAAAAATAGTGACATTTTCTACTTTCAGTGATACAAGAAACCATAGTTACATAACTGGATCTCAACTCTAATAACTATCTTTTTTTTTTTCATTTGAAAAACTAAATTAAACTAAACCAGATGACACAGAGAATTGTTTTATGAAGTAATGAGTATGCAGTCTCAAATTCATGTCACGTATTGCAAAGACCTTTCAATTCAACTAAGCCTTGTTATTCACAAAGAAAAGTCATCAATCTTTTGGGAGGTGAATGAAATATGCATAGATGGTAAACATTCTTGATTGAATGCTAATTGATGACTAGTAAAGTGTGACAAGCAATGTTCAAGCTGCTGACTCTAGTAGGTGTTTATGTGCTTCTTTCAATAGGGCTATTTCATCTGTGCCATGATGAAGCATGATACATGTACATCTTGCAAAGAATTAGTTTGTACATTGCCTTAGATACTTCATTTATTCTTTAAGAAAAGCTAAGGTCTACATTGTTCCATCTTACTCTCTTCCAACATATACTGTGATGGTTATAGCTTCCTATTCACCATGAACAAAGTTAGCCAAGAAATAAGAACTTCTGATACATGTATAAGTTTGCAGACTCCTCTACAAATCATGTCTATACAGCAATGGGACCTGGTCAAAGCCCCTCAAGACACCTATTAATTTTCCAATTATTAAAGAGAAGGAAAGAGAGATTGGCTATTGTACGTTGGCTGCCTCTGTGGCACCTTTGGCGAAGCGCCAGGCAATATCTCCCCACGGTTATCAGAAAATAATGTGACAACTATACGGGGAAACAGTGGAGACTGTGCAAATTGTAGGTAATTTGTCTGGCTCTGATTATATGATATATACTGCAGTAGCACTTCTGCTCTTACGGTCAGATTCCTGTCAAAAGTTCAACTTCAGCTTTCCCCTACTACCCAGTGATAAATTAGGAAATACCACTATCAATAGAAAAGCTGACAAGAATTGCAGGTCGTTACCTTTCAGCAGTTCTCTGGGACCAATCAATGCAGACAAAAAGGGCTGAATTTTCCATTTGCCATAGAGGCCACTTGACAAACATGATATGCCATGGAATACAAGTGTATGCTAAACACCCTCAAGTTTAATTTTTCAGAGTTTCAGTATAGTTTGGGAGTGACCTTCAATATTCAACAACCTCAAAACTCTTTTGTTGTTGAATACTGTACATCTTGTCATGTTCACTATTGTTTTAATTTCCATATCATGACACACACTCGTGTTAATTTTGCATTACTTCTGCAACATAGAACTGCTTCAACAACAACTTTGAAACACAGTGAAAACCTCCTTTCCTCTCCTGCTGAAAAATTAAATGCCTCCAAAACTTAACATATCTACAGGCATTAAAGCTATAAGAACATTACTTGCTTGCTGTCCAATGCTCCTAAATCCATGTGAATAAAATAAAACAACTTTTTCCAACTGACCTTTCCTTCCTGTCGTTGACCTCTGCACACAGCACCCTCCACCGTCTGTTCAGTCCATCCAGCTTCTCCCTCAGAAGGGTGGCGTCGATGGACGTGCACTGCTCGATAATCTCCTGCCCGTTCGCGTTCAGTCCCTCCACTTGCTTCCTGTGGTTCTCAATCCCGTCTTGCAATTTCTATGCAAAGTAAAAACAGGAGCAACATCTTGAGGAGGGACGCAAAAGTACATGTTACGGCACATACTAATTACAGAGATAATGCATGGAGGCCTGAAGGTATTCGTGCTGTTTCTAATATGTTGAGTAAATGCATTCTTATCGCTGGAGGTTAATTACGTCAAGAAAGCATTGCTAATGAAGAGCCTGAAGAAAAAAACATGGCTCTCAATTACAAGGAAATGTAGCAAGTGACATTTGAACTGGGAGGTTTTCAGGCTTACGTCTTGCATAATGTCACAAACTAGGTCCGTCACAGGGGATGGCAAGATTACTGTCACCGGGGAAAATGTCAGCAAATCAGATTAACTTTAGCATGAGTGGGGGTTAAATGGCAGAGAGCCAAATTTAAGACTAGGATATGCTTGGCTGCACCTGGGTATTGATCCCACCACTTATCACAGCAAGCCTACCAGCACCATGGACAGAACCTGCAAACCAATATCCAACACAAGCCCAAAGGAGAAACCTGTAGATTACCTTACCACGATTCCAGCCTT